AGAATTTCAGATCAAATTGATAATAGGAGCACGCTAGTTGCTCGTGCACGAGACTAAACACAAAAAATGAAAATTAACCACGTGTCAGATCGGTTTAAAAGGTCAAAAATGTCTGCAGGGCTCAGCGTTCGAATCCAAGGATGAATAAAAAATTCATTTGTGACCACAGAGGTTCAACTCTAGTGACTCTGAGTGGGTGGTTATCCTAGGATTAGTCGACTCGAATAACAGGTTAGATATCTATGTTAATAAAAAAATGAAAATTGTAAAATACTTATTGCATATTGATGGCCCGATACCACCAAAGACGCAAGCACCTTTGTTATTCCACGAATGACAAATCGATTTCAAGGAAAGGAATAGTACTTAACATGTCGTGCTTCTTCATGAACATTACTCGAAAAACACTTAGGGCCTACTAAGCACTTACTTGTTAAGTGTTTATCGGATAAATTTCCTTATCGGATGAACATGAGAAGGGCAAAAAATCTTACCGGGTAAGAACAATGAAAATGATATAGAGTCTTACCCGGTAAGTAAGGATGACGACTCTTACCTGGGTACCCAGTAACTTGTTGCATTCGATACGTTTTGATATACTAAAATCTTACGTATCAAAATAAATTATAATGTTGAATCCTATCGGTAAGCACTTTACCGGGTAAACATTTGGGTAAACGGCCATTTAAAAGTTAGTCGAATTAGCATAACTTACTTGAGTCCTTATCAAGCAACCATCGAATCCCTATCAACCAACCTTCAAGCTTCATTAATTGATCGAGAACCCTTGAAGCTAGTGTTATGTATCAACTAAGCAACCATCAAGAGACTATACATCTTGATACTGAACTTTTACAGAGAGCAAAAATGGAGGTAGTTTGAGCATTTGAGATACTCGTTTTCATCGTTGGATCATCACAAGAAAAGATGAAAGTATTTGAGTTATAGTTTTGTTTTAAATTTTCCCATCAAGCGTTGAAGTGTGGAAGAGGGAAAGACTAAAAGAAGATGGAAAGAAAAAGAGGAGAAGAGTTCTTTTTGTAATTAAAAAAAAATAAAAAGCAAAATTCCTTCTCCAATATTGTTGCATGGGCGTGGAGACGGTCAAACGAAAGCCCATGACCAAAAACCCTAACATTCAAGAAAACTCATGTTTAAATAAATTCATTCACATACAATACGATTACACACACACATATATATATATATATATATATATATATATATATATATATATATA